TGATTCAAACAATTATCAGTTTGGTCAATACTATTTTATATACAATAAACAAAACAATAAAGGTATTATTTAATTGCCAGATAAAAAAAATAACTCAGGAAACTATGCTCACAGAAGTTCTGTAACAATTAACATCTCTTTGGCATTGGTGTTAGTCAGGCTGAAATAATTATTAGTAATCCATTACTTACCCGGCAAGAAAAAAATTTAAAAGGTGAATCATCCGATTCGACAAGTCATGTTTAGATTTTTTTGAAAATTAAACTTAAACTAAGAAATATATGATATCAAAATGACATTTTCTTTAGATCTGACACAATTTAAAATGGATTGAATAAATGAGGTCGATTTCATTGGAAAACAGTTTATTTCATATAATTTAAATCACAATTTGTAATGTGTAGAAAGTATAATAAAAATTGTTTCATAAAGGGAGTTTTACTAGTCCAAATAAGGTACACTATATACAAAACATGTTTGCTAGAGGACATGATATTTTATTGTATGATCACAATATTTCCTCCAATTCATATTTATTGAATATTCTCGTTATTCGACGAACGTGATTTTTCAGACCAAATGATTACACACCTAAAAAACATTTTGCTCAATTCAATCTTTTCTCCAGAGGAAAAAAATAATTCAGTTGACTAAAAGTTGTCACATTCTCAGCATTGACCTATTAATTTTAACAAATTTCGAGCAGGTATTTTGAACGATGCATAATTAATACCAAAGCTGCACTCGTTGCAACTGCATATGAAGCAGTTGTTGAAAAAAATTTCAGCAAGAAAAATTATTTTACTTTCTATGAACCTCAAATGTAAAGTAGATATATTATTAAAAATAAAATTTCCAGACATTTTATTTGTTCAAAATTATGTCAAGACCACCTCAAACTCATATTGAAATTTTTGTGGTATATTTATCTAAAATATAACTAAAACGCCCGACACCGGCCATGACTCAGTCCGGTAGCTGTATATAGAGGATCTAAAAATAGTGTCTGAAAGAGGTGATCGAAGATTTCTCGAACTGAAAAAAAAACTCTAAAATCAGCAGTCCAACCAGTTGGACCATGATGTTGCCCATCGGCAACAGCCGATGAGCGATTTCACTCACTCTTTCATTTAGTCATGGAGTTTGTCACTCGCACTCATCTGTAATTTTTAATCTCGTCTGACGGTTGCTGTAAACAAATATTTTTATCTGGTTTTTTATTTATGATTCCAAATATTACAAATTTGGTAAAAGAAAAGTTTTGGGTGAACAAATTGAAATGAATATGACTTCTGACTGAAAATTTTGACAAGTGTCGTGTTATCTGCCAGAACCCCCATTCCTTACGGCTTTGGTAATAAATATTCATTGTTAAAAATTTCTCACACCCTGAAATATCTGCTCAGAATTCGTTATGGGCTCTCACATTATATGTTTTCTACTTGAACTGTGATTGTTTTACATACATATGGCAAATCAATATAGAACTAAAAATGAAGTAAAAGAAGGTTGAATGTACATTAAAGTGCATCTAGCAAAATATCTCTCAGAGTTTTGTAATAAAGAAATTTTGAGGTCAGATCATATCTCGAACACATTCAGTATCTAGTTCTTGTATGAGGCAACGCATAAATGCCATCTCCTTACGTGCATTATCGAACATGGATGCATCCATTTTAGTATGTTGTATGACGTCAGGTTTATTGAAGGTTTGCAAAAACCGAATTAAGTAGCATAAAACAAGTCTATGCAGAGTAGGTAAACGTAGAACTAAATCACATGCATGACAGGGAGTCATTGTATCAGCTACACATTCGGGATAGAGAGAATCCAAAATATAATTCATCATTTTTCCAATGTCCGATCCATTCCGGACCTCACTCATCCAAAGATAAAAAAGATTGCAACTTTTCAAAATAACCTCTTCTCATAGGAAAATAAACTATGAACATTTCCCTCTAACTGAGCCGAATGTGATCTCAACTCAAAACGCAGTTCGTCATTGTACATCATCTCCCTAAAATGAATAAATTAGAAAACCTAATGCAAACAGTTACATTATGCCGTACCTCAGCTGATTCAGAGATTTGGTACCAATATCTTGACACCCATGTCTTATTCCACACTGGAGATACGGAACAAAGCGTAATACAGATCCCTTATCGACAATGCTTCCACTGACTCCCTGTGCTACTTTCAATTTATCCACTTCACTGTAATTTCAAATTATGAATTATGTAAGTAAACTTGAACTTGAAATTAGAATGGTGATTTATCAAATTTTAATGACCAATAACCTAATCAACATTCAAATCAACATAAAACAAATGTATTTGTCACAAAACAAAGTCATGTTTCTCCATTATTGAATGCAAATAAGTAATAAAAAATGCAACTTTTTGAAAAAAGTGAACAAATAGTAAAAAACGACAAGAGCTTGTTTATGTTTTCTGCCACATTACTCTTGTCCTCAAGACCTTAGATGAACGAAACAAGATTTGTTAAGTTTTCAAACAGGATCTCTCATCTTATCTACTTAAAAAAACATGAATCACATTTACACTGCTTGAAATATGTCATTCAAGACCCAGGACTCCTCTCAAAACTAATTAGCTTCCGAGATGCAACTTTTCTGAAGTCACAAGACCGCTTAAAAAATTCAACCGAGCCTTTCACAGAATAAAAATTTGACATTCAAAAGGTGGGTGATAGCCAGTGCACTAATAGTAGTTTTCAAAGTTTCGTGGCATTTTTATTCAATGCCATTTCAGCATTTTCGATGATGGACTAATCAAGAGTTTTTATTACTTAATCTCTTGAATGATACTCAATGGAGCTAATTAAAATAATATCATCTGACTTGAAGAAGGTGAAGAGCTGGTGCGATGCAAATTTACTCTCTCTAAATGCATCCAAAACGAATATAATATCATTCAAATGTTCGCTTGATGACATTTCAATAGACGCTGACGTATTACAAAAATAATTAAACACAAAGTTTCTCGGTGTATTCATTGATAATAGGCTGAAATTTGATGAGCACCTTAA